TCTAGCCTATCTCCCATATATGATGTGTTTATGTGTGAAAACAATTTAATTTTAGTTGACATCCACATCAGGAGAGTTCAGATTCTTGCATGAACCTGGGGTTTAATGATTGCAGCAAAAATACACCGGATATGGAAATTGTAATTTGGAAAGGAGAAGAATATAAAGAAATGAATATAGTCAGAAACAGCAAAGGAGTTTAGAATGGTGCTCTTTCATTGAGAAATTCACAATCCTTTGTTTATATTTTCAAACTAAAATGCAAGTAAATCTGTAGGAAAATACCTAAGGGAGATAATAAGAATGCCGATTTGAACATAAAATTTTTGTTGTGTAACCTAAGATGAGAGGTGGAGATCTTGAGTTACCAGACCACAGAGCCCTGGTGTTCTCTCTTTTGCTGAGTAGCAAGCTGCCTTCTTCTCCTTCTCCTTCTCCTTCTCCTTCTCCTCCTTCTCTTTCTCCTCCTCCTCCTCCTCCTCCTCCTCCTCCTCCTTGTTTTTTTGACACAGTGTTTCTCTATGTAGCTTTGGAGGTTCTCATACCTTGCTCTGTGGACCAGGCTGTCCTTGAACTCAGGGAGATCTTCCTGCCTCTGCCTCCCAAGAGCTGGAATTAAAGGCATGTGCTACCACTGCCTAACTCAAACATACTTCTTCAGCAGAGATTTGGTTTCATCTGAGTTTATAGAGCCCAATACAGCACGGTACCTTCCAGTGCCTTCAGGATTGGACATGAATGCTCTTAAATATTGCTTAGTAAACTGTTTTTTATACACATAATGTCAAATGGTAGAGTTTCAAATCTGAGTGTTGGGTCCAAATGGGTAGACCAAATGCAATCTCTACTAAGCAAACTCATAGGCAGTTGCATAATATGTGCAAAGAATCTATGAACCTCATCTGTTAACCTTAATACCTTACTTGTTCTGGTTTCTTTCAGTACAATTACAAAGCTCATTATTTCCATTAAAGGGGAAATGTAATGATTATAGACAACAATATTTTAGAAAAGTATAAAGGAAGAAGCAAACCTCCTTGACATCCTACACCCAGGAGCAGTGTGGGCTCGCTATTGCCATATTCATTCACTTCCTTCAAGCCTTTAAAAATAATTTTTTACCAATGTGTATGTATATAGCCAATTTACTTCTGATTTGATATTTGTATAATTTTTGAATATATATATATATATACATACATACATACACACATACAGACATACATACATTCAATGTAGTGAGAACTCTTCCATTACATTTAGTGATTCTATAACACACAATTCACATAGCTATTCATCTGCTGCACATTTATTTTCTTTGTCTTTATTTTCATCATTGCCAATCAGATGGCTATGAATAGTTTTGTGTTTGGTTTCTACCTCTTTCTGGCAGCAAGATAAGAAAGGATTCTTCTATTAAAACCCCTGTTGTTCTGTTTCTGTGAGAGTATGAACTGTTTAATCAGCATTCACTCTTTTCACTGGCTTTCTTTCCCTTCCCCTAATCATCTCTCTCCCTCGTTTTAATATGATACCATTGGTAAAATACCATTGGTCTTTTTGCTATAAACATGGAAAGAAGAAGAAAAATCCTACATGCTATAAGATACTCTCTGGGCTCTTCTATAGCTGATGTATCCTTTAAAATCTTGCATTCCTACAAGACGGAATAGATCACACTATGAAGCGAGTCCTGCTACAATTTATCCATGTAAGCCTGCTGTAAAGAAAATCATGACTTCCTACCCACTACTAACATCTTGGCACAAAAACAACTGAACACAGGCACATAAGAGCCAGGAACACTGCAGCACCTGACAAGCATCATTTTGCAGGCATGAACAGGCAGGCCCCTGTGTTCATTGTTCCTAACTGTTCTACTTTATGCTGTATCCCAATTTAATTTTCAATAATAGATTGGATCTGTTTATTCTTTTGGAAATCCAAAATAAATCTCATTATGAACCTGTGAACCACTGAACAAAACAAGTACAAAACCAGTGACTTTTAATGTCCCTTTCAAGTCTGAAGCTCTATAAAAACAGTAAGACTTAGAAAAAAAACCTTGTATCTTATAAAATGCCTGAGCTAGCTAACACTGTATCCTATATGTTGGTTTCTCCTCAAAATCTTTTACAAGTATTTTTTCCAACCCATATCCTCATCTCTGTCTACCACTAGTGGACAGAACTGATTCTGACAACACCCTCTTATTAGTTAATATAGGAAAAGTTAAGTCCCAGAGAGTGGTATAGAGAAACATCGTAAAGAGTATTACTAGATTATAAATCTAATATAGACCTGTAGACATACTTGTTTATATATTATATAAGTAAATACAAAAAGAAAGTAAAGGTTAGGACTAAGTGTACACACAAAGATGTCTCTTGTCCTACCCCATAAATGAGGCTGCATGCCCACTAAGATGTATATTCCACGCAGTTCTGACTACCTCAGTAACCTGCAAATGGGGCTCTGCACTTTGCTTTTCTTCTGCCATTGCCTAATCGAACTGATTTCTCAATATAATCTCATCAAGCTACTCACCTTTAGATTTCTCTGTGATTCCAAGCTGATAAGAAAGCAGGAGGAACTTCTTAAACTGTTAAGTCAGGCCTTTCATTTGTTCAGCCCCATTTTCTCAACTGATGATCTGCATTTCAGTCAAATGAATAGCTTAGTTCCTTGAAATTGAATGACTTCCTAGTCACACGTTTAAGAATTATGTTTAATAAGAATATCCCTTGTTCAGGGGAAGTTCATGGACCCCAGACAGATAGCTGGGAAACCAGCACACAACTGACCCATACCCCCTGATTGTGGGTGTCAGTTAGGAGGCCTATGGGGCCTCGAACAGTGGATCAGTGTTTAGCCCTAGAATATGAATGGACTTTGGGAGCCCATTCCACTTAGAGGGATACTCTCTCAGCCTAGACACACGTGGGACGGCCTAGGCCTGCTCCAAATGATATAACAGACTTCGAAGATCCCACATGGAAGGCCTCACCCTCCCTGGGGAGCAGAAAGGGCATGGTATAAGGGGTTAGTGAGGGGCAGAGAAGGAGGGGAGGGAGAGGGAACTGGGCTTGACATGTAAAACAAGCTTGTTTCTAATTTAAATTTTAAAAAGAAAAAAAATATCCCTTGTTCATCTACTTTTTCTACTCATACTTAACCTTCAAATTTTAGCTTAATGTATTACCCTGAGATACACTCTTTGACACCTCAGAAAAGTTCTCCAGTTCTCCCATATCAACTGATTTGTTGTAATTTATTTATTTGTTATGTGAGTCTACCTCTTTGTGTGTGTCTGAAACAAGTCTCACGACGAAGCTCCGACGGTCCTGGAACTCTCTATGTATACCAGGCTAGCTGTGAATGTACAGAGATCTGGCCGTCTGTGCCTCCTGAGTGCTGGGATTAAAGGCATGTACCACCATATCTGGCCACTGAGTCTACTTTTGAACAGAGCTCAAAGAGACTAGAAATCTAACATATTCATTTTGATGTCTCTTGCAGGCTCAGGTGTCAATGGCAGTTAGGATAATGTGTGATATGTAGCAATACATCTCTGTGGAATAAACAAATGAATAATGAGGAGCCCACACAAAAACTAACACCACAGACCTTACAAATTCTGTCTGGTGGAAAATCAACTCACAAAACCATGCATTGATGTATCAAAATATTCAAATACAAATAGAATATTCAGTGTCATATATTGAAATATTGATTAATTACATAACAAAGAATGATAGGGCTGGTGATGGAATGCTAAGACAGTGTTTCTTCTGTCTGGCAACCTGCCTATAACTTAAAGGAAGACTTGTCTATGAAGGCTTACATTGAACTTTGACATGTGACAAATGCATATACTAAAAATTTTCAAACTCATATTCCTAGTTGATCCTCACATACTTTAGATCTCTAAGAGGTATGTCTCTAGTCCTCGTATTTTCATTTTATAACTATGAATTATAAGTAAAATATTGTTAAATTCTTGTTTACCATTACTAATATTGTATGCTTTTCTTTTCCCTCATAATGTGATTACATATGATTTATTGACTAATACTGAAGTATATTTTCATTCCTGTATCATACCCTTCTTGGTTCATGGCCATACATTATTCTTCTGATAATAAGATTTTACATTTATTAGCATTTAATTCAAGTATTTTGTATTTATCTTCATAATGGTGAGTGGTTTTCTATTGTTTACATCTGAATTTTGAGCCACGTAACTATTGCCTCTTAGAGACCACTTGAAATAAGCATTGAACCAAACTTGTCTCAAAGGTATGTTGGCTATAGTTCTATTAAGTCAGCAATTATGATGCTTTTGTTAAATGATCACTTTGCACCATTGACCCCAAGTTCTCTGTGCACACCAACCCACTTAAACACAAAACAGTATTTAGAGCAGAGACACTAAGACTCAGAGAGGTGAAAAATTCAAGATCACAAGACAGTAAGTTGTGGAGTTAAGATTTGGACTCAAACATTTTCGTCCCAGAACTCAAGTTCTTTGTTATTGTGTATTTTTGCTAGTATGTTGAAAGAAAAAGCACAAGTACAGAATTATTTGTTCAAGACAGACTCAGATGCAGTCACTCTTAATAATGGGAAAGTACTCAACAATGTAGAATGGCTAAGAGAACTATACTAACCACATATATTTATCAAAAACTTATGTGGATTGGAGAATAACTGTATTTAAGTGTTTAGAAACTTAAATGAAGGGCTATGGATGTAACCATGGAATATCATTTGCATAATGTGTGAGGTAATTGATTAATAATTGAAATATCTATTCATTTCTGTACCACAGGGGCCTTAGTCCATGAGCATGGCATTATTCTTCTGAGAGTCATGTATTATATTTATTAACATTTTATCTCAGTATTTTGAATTTATCAGTCCTCAACCCTGGAACAAAAAAAAATAAATGAAAAAAAAACATTGTGAAAGAAATAACATCTTTCTTTCTCTCTTTTCAGCAATCTTGACACAGAAGAACTGTGTGGTGAGTATCTTTAAGACCAACGAAACTGTTGTTAATTTGACTCAAAAAGGGGAGAGTATAAAGTTGGAGTTAAACGTCCATAAGTGAAGCAAACCATTGGGCAGAGTGGTCAGAGTTTTCTTATCCTTGAATTTGGTCCCAGTGTATATGTTACTTAAACAGTTGGGCTAGTTAATTTGCTCATGAAAAGAGAGCTGGGATTGTGCAATGGTTTTACAGAAACGAATTCTTAATGAGCCTAATGCAGCTTCTCCATTTGCTTCATAATCATCATGCAGCCTTTCCAAAGCTGTATTCTTGAAATATAAAAATAACTTTGTTCCATATCTGTGCAATTATTCCAGAAACTTAAATGCCTTGTTGAAAAATGTACTAGTAGGGAAAAAATATTTCCAGATGGCTAGTCTACAGCTTCTTCATTTCTTTCTGTTGTCATTGTGACAATAACAGAGGTCAGAGATTAAAAATGTGGAAAAGGCCGGGCGGTGGTGGCACACGCCTTTAATCCCAGCACTCGGGAGGCAGAGGCAGGTGGATCTCTGTGAGTTCGAGGCCAGGCTGGACCAACAGCCTCCAAAACAATATAGAGAAACCCTGTCTCGTAAAAACCAAAAAAAAAATGTGGAAAAGTAAATAATCTGAAATTTATTCTTTGTTATGAAATTGGAACATTATGAAACTACTAGACTTTAAACAGATATATATGTCTCTGTATATGGAAAGGCTTCATATTTTTCATTTTTAAGATGGATGTGTCAAATAACACTTTGCTCAAGTATGATTTTATCCTCTAGGCAGCCTGAGACATTTAGATAGCTCGAAGGTTTTCTAAGACTTCTCATTGAAATCACAAACCTTTCTTAGATACTGTAGCCATTTTACAATTTGAGAGCTCTCCAGAATCATCCAAATGGACATTTTCTGTCATTAGAGGTTGGTAGCCTTTCAGCAATCTGGCAGATCAGCACTGTAAGATGTCACCAGGATAATATGTCACAGTGCAGTTCCAGGGCAGTAATGGAACAAAACAAATGCTAATCCCGAGCTTTCACGTGTTTCAGTAGCCCTTAAATTCTAGGCTCCCTGCATAATACCTGCATGATATTCCTCCTGGTTCAGAGACAAGATTCCAACTGAAGAAACAAGATTTGGGGCTGGAGCAAGGTATTTTTGGAGTCACAGGGAATTAGGTTTTCAGAGTTATGGGAAAATCCTGCCATGCCGTCACACACAGTCACAGGCAGCTTCAGCTACACGTGACAATTACTGTGTTAAACAGACAAAAGAGTTCACCTAGACCATGACACCAAAATGTGTGATGACCAGCAAAGCCCATGAAGGTCAAGTTGTAATCCATTCTCCTGGATGCACAACCCCTGCCGGTGAATGGCGAGATAATGGGAAGCAGGAACTGAGACAACCATCTTGTTCATTGCATGCAATTAGAGACCTGTTTCTTTAGGATGTCTAAGCATGGCAGGCCAAATTAGCAATTCCCTCCAAGTGTTCAAAAAATTCCTTTTATATTCAACTAACATTGCCTGGGTAAGAAGAGCTGATTGAAAAATAATTTATTATTATCTTTAAGACAAAAAACATTTAGTGGCTATTGTCTGCTTGCTCTGTTGTCTGTCCTTCAGGAGCATCTTACAAATCTGTCTTCTAAAACTACTAAATTTCAAACCATAACTGTGACTCTTCATTTAATCATCCACACAGAGTTTTATTTACCTTTCACTATAATAATAAAGCTTGATTAGTCATTTACTCCTCCTCCCCAACAGTTTTAGCAAGGAAAGTGACTGGCCTTTAATTCAACAGAATTTCTTTATATGTTAAAAATCCTGTGATCATATTCATAATCTAGTTTTAATCCTCTTCTCTGCTGTAGAATATGCATTTTATTTCTAGATTGACGCTTCATTTCACATCATTTTTGAATATAAAATAAATATTTAGGTTGGATTTTAATCAGAGCCAAGTCTTCGGTGCTAGCAAGTGAAATATGTGGAGTCACATCTCATGCAAATTCCCTGTAGGTGTTGGAGGGGTGGGGTTTGATTGACACAGAACAGAGATTTCATGCACTTTTCTCTTAGAAACCAATTACAGACTCTAGGCATACATCTCTTAGCTTCATTAAGTTTTTTCTTAATTCATCAGTTAATTCAATTAAGTACCTAAACTGAAAATCTATTCAAATATGAGTTTAAAATATCTTTTCAATCTAACTTACGAGATTAATATATAAATAATATTTTAGTTAATAACATTGCTTCATCTGAGTACATAAGCTGAGGCAGCTTTGGTGAATGTGGATGTACCATTGAGATGGACAAGGGAATTTTGATAATGTGTGGTTCTTCAAAGTGCATTTTTCCGTTAATGTTTTTCTAGGATGATCACCCACACTCATAACCCCCTCAGAATAATCTTTATGGAAATTTCTAGGTGATTGTGTTCTTCAGATTACAGGGGACAAAGCCCTGTCTCTCATTTTATTTAGTTCCTTTCTACGCCTCATTTACTAGGTGCTCGCAAGGTGCATGTGGTGGAAGTCATTTAGATTCATGAGAATGCTCTCTGAGATGATTTCCTATTCTGACACAACAGCTGTGGGCCCTTTTGCTTGACTTGATATTCTTAAGCCAGACCTGGAAATTCAACTTGGAAGACTGAATTGCTGAATAAAATTTCAGTCTATCACTACTAATTCTGTACAGTTGGGAAGGGTGAAACTAGCCCCTTGTTAGCATTTTATAAGTGAAAGTATGGCAACTATGCACGAGAAGACAATTTGCTTCCTGGAAGACTGTACGCTCAATGTACGTGTTTATGAATTGCATTCTATTCTTCCATTACATCCAGTACCAAGACTATTTTTCAAAAGTCCTTCACACAAACTAAGAAAGAATAATTTCTATAAATTTTTTCTACAAATTCTATATGACTGGTTTTTTTCACAAATTGATGGAACTAATTTGTGTATTTTCTCCAGAAAATAATTCTTGGCACCCACAGACAGTTTCAAGGGACCAATATCTGCTTTAAATCTTTATTTTTCTTCAATGACATGATTATTAGCAAAGAGCAATTTCCTAGATCATACTGTCATTGTTATTTAATTAGAAAATATGAATTATAGCAACAAGAATATGACATTACTCCAAGATCAGCCATTTCCTTCTTCCTCCTGCTTTACTCCATACCTTGGCCTGATTCGTGGTCCTTAGTCTATGAAGAAAACCCTCCCCACAATTATTGTTGCCTTGGCTCTGGACAACTTCATGTCACTCCCTGATCATGTACATCACTTCCAGATAAAGTCTATGAGGAAAACTGTAAGATATCACTCTTCTTTTCAAAACGGTGCACCTACCTGTTGCACATAGACATCTTAAATTTAATTTTCATGTCAAAGTTTGTAGAATCTCAGATGATGTGTTATAATAAGTTCCAACTGCTGTTCCATGGAGAAGCAAAACCAGTGAGGCTCTAGGGGACTCTAACACAGAGAGTCAAGAACACCAACCTAAACTTGAGGATAAAAGGTAGAGTATTAAACAAGGGATGTTTAGGGCTTGTCTGCTTCTTGTCTCATCAGCTATCTTAGCACACGGAGCATCACCACCTTACTTAGCTTCCCAACTCAAGCTCTTAGTCAGGGATGACACTGTAGTTAGTACCCCCACCCCATTCTCAGAGTTACAGTCATTGCTAGCTAGTGTATCACTTACCGTGCGGCCGTTCCCTCTCTATGTGGGGACTTGAGATGAACAAATGCATTAATGACGAAGGGAGAAAATGAGAGTTTCCAGTCTGAAGTCTTGACATAGTTTTGTCGCGTGCTCCACTGACCTCTGCATGCATGTGCTAGCACACACGATTTAAAAGCAAAAGAAGAGTGAATTTCTCTTCACCACATTTTCTGACTAAGCCAAACGTCTTGAATATCAAAGATATTTTTATTTTGAAAGGTCAGCTCTGGACATACGTACATATAAGAAATGCTAAATGGACTCAATATGTAACATATGTACACATGTGTATGTGTAACAATAATAATTTAGAGGAGATCAAAATTTTTGAAGAAAGAGGTGGAGCTACAGAAGGAGTTGAAGGGAGAGGGAGGGGCAAAATAATACAGATTCAGTGTATGCACAAATTCTTAAAACAACAACAAAGAAAAAAGTGGCCTTACTACTAGTTTTATTTTATGAAAATTCCTGGGCACTCTCTTCCTCCCTCCCTCCCTCCCTCCCTCCCTCCCTCCCTCCCTCCCTCCCTCCCTCCCTCCCTCCCTCCCTCCCTCCCTCTCTCTCTCTCTCTCTCTCTCTCTCTCTCTCTCTCTCTCTCTCTCTCTCTGTGTGTGTGTAGACCTGTCTAACCAGGACCATCATGAACACAAAAAAAAATCACTCATCACTCTATCAATTAAGCTGTATCCATAGCCTCTTTGTTTTTTGTTTGTTTTGTTTTCTGTCAAAATACCAGAGATCTCAATTTTAAAATTCAAGAATAGCAGTGCAAAACAAAATAAGCCAGTAAATGCATGTGATATTTTGTGTTGCTAGTAATACAGTGCCTCCTAGCAAACTTGCCAATTCCTAAATACAAAGCCAGGGAGAAAAACTGCATCAGCCTTCTCATTTTCACGCTGTAAAATACTTCACCTATTTTTGTTCATTAGTGAATTAGCTCTGGCCTGGAAGAAAGACTGTCTTCAAGTCTAGTCGCGAATTTCACCTGACCTTCTGGTGGCACAATTTCATTTCCATTAATTTTCTTTTCTCTGAAAGTCAAAAGTCTCTCAAATCAAATTACTTCACTTAGATTAACCTTTCCTTTCACATTTTCTATATCTTAGATATAATTTTTACATTTGATTTTTACTTCTTTATGTTAGCACGTTTAGCTGATGTCTGCACAACTTCATCATCTGTGTTCACATCACCTGGTCTTATTTTTTCTTCATTTCAATTTGAATAACCTAAAGCCTAATGGGCCTTTATCACAATGAGTTCTCCTTATTTCTCTAGCTTCCTGGAATATATGCCTACAAAGAATATGAAAAGATATATTTTACTTTAAATGTGCACATAAATCCAGAATTTCTTTTCACATATTTGTCTTTGAAACAATATGTATTGAATTTATCAACAACCTGATCAGGTCTTCCCATTTTCATTGCCACCATCTTGGTCCAAGTCATTGCTGGACTCCAGAATTATTAAAATAGTTCTATGATAACTTTTTAAAATTGAATATAAATTCTCTCATCATAGCTCCTGTGTAAAAATCTTTCACTGTATGTATTTTTACTACTTACATGAAAAACTTCTGCATAGTATTCTTTGAGGCTGGGAATATGCTGAAATAAAAATGAACAAACTTATCTTTTCTTCATGTTTATTTGCATATTTTGCTTATTTTAACATAATATTGCTTGTATATTGATATGCATTCTTTTCCATCTTTTGAAAATTCTACAGCAATATTAACTGCATATTGATTCATGAAAAGTAATGTCATTTATTTCATTTATTACAGTCACCACACAGATAAAACAAATGTCTTAGCCAATCCTATCAGACTTAAAATGTTACTTTTTATTTCTTTAATGAGTATTTGCTCATTTATTATTTCACTAATCCTTCCCTAAAAGGATCTCTGTATCAGTCCTAAGCTACAGGGACCATATATTCTGGACTGATGTCTTTGGGCTGTGTTTGGAACCAGCCAAACAGCCCCTGGATCCAACTCTGAATGGGTGAGTATGGATCATGGAAGTCCTAGCTACCCAGTGTCATTAAGGATGAGACAGAGACATCATGTCATTTCAGGAGGGCTCTCAGTCAATACTGGAGACCATGCTTTATTCAAACATCCTCTTAAATAGCTTTCTAAAAGTGGGGTACTGGCAGGAGACATCTAATATGTATATATGGCTGACTAGGAAGCACTTCCTTTAACCATAGAGATGGTCCTAGAATGCACATACACAAGCCTTCAAACATTCCATAACGGTATGCTCACCAGTCTTCAGGCACGTCCCACTAGCCCTCATGACGGCCATGTGGCCTGGGTCTATTGTTACACAAACTTGGAGCCATTCTCCACTGTGACCAGGCCATCTGGAGGTAACCAGCCGACATCCAAAAGACAGTAGGAAATTCGAGCTCCTGGAATTGAACTGAGGCTTATATCCGAAATATCATATTCAGGGTCCAACAGAGGAAATATCACAGTGTTTTAGAGATTGCAGAATCAAGAAGGTATCTTTCTTTTAGGACAATATTACATTCATTTTTAATCTATGTATGTATAGGCTGCATTATGACGAGACTCTAGAATGTTTGTGCTTCGTTGGTTTTTATCCTCGGAGAAGCTTATTGAAAGGTTCAGGCATTATGCTGGCCTGCTCTGTTACCTGGCAGAATGCATTCAGGCAGTGCTCTGGTCAGCCCAGAGTTCCATGAGAACCAGTCTGCATGTACGTGCAAAGGACCCCTTTAAAAGACAGCCAACATTTTGTCTTAGGATTATCTAGACTTCAACATAAATTGATTTTACTTCTTTTACTTACAGAATATTTTTCTCAGCACTTGGGTGAATATGAAAATGTACTGGCTGCACTTGAAGACCTGAATCTCTCCATCCTGAAGGCAATGGGCAAAACAAAGAAAGTAAGGAAATGTCAAAGATTACTCTCCAGAACAGTATCTTCCTTGAGAAATATTTTCTTTAAAATTATATGCATTTCTTAATGTACAATTTAAATACTGATTGCTTCTGTCGGTGATGGTTCATTCTTTTTAATATTGGCTGCATTGTTCATTCACAGGACAATTGCTAGCATCAACTATGAGCCAGAGACTGTTTTGTGCTGAGAATACAAAGATACCCAGAACTATTCTAGCAATTCTTAATATGGTAGGAACACAAGTTGTGTAAATAAATGTGATATTGTGTGAAAGAGAGGAACCCAAGATGGAATACACAGTTTGTATTGAAAGAAGTAATACCCAAGGCTATAGCAATCAAGATAATAGTCATTAGACAAAGGAGAGGTAACAGCATATACAGGAATTATCGATCAGAAAGGTCCAAGGCTCTCAAGGAAGAGATGAAGCTGAATTATGGAAGGGCTGTATCTTTCATGGTGCCACCAAAGCTAGGGATGTAAGCTGACATACAAAATGCAAATAAAACAGTATTTCAAGCAGGGATATGAAGTCTTCCAGAAAGAGCATGTGAGAACTTGGCTGTGGTTGAGATGAGTACAAGGGAACAGAATCAGGAAGATGAGTAAGGAGGCTAGTTAACCAGTTCTGGTGAGAGACACCAGTATGTGAAAAACTAACTGGGGGGGAACACAGAGAACAGAAAGTGAGTGCACTTGTGTTTGGCACAATAATTGTGGAATTTGGAGAAAGATTGAATCCATGGGCTGAAATGAAGTGTGTTAAGGGTAAACCTAATCTTTCGTTTAAATGCTTGGGTGGTGACTTTACCTAGACAGAATGCTGAAAGAGGACCAGGTGTGAGGATGTAAGAGCGTAAAATTTTTTTAAGATTTATTTATTATGTATACATGATGGATGCCTGCATGCCAGAAGAGGGCACCAGATCTTATTACAGATGGTTGTGAGCCACGATGTGGTTGCTGGGAATTAGGACCTTTGGAAGGGCAGCCAGTGCTCTTAACCTCTGAACCATCTCTCCAGCCCCAAGAGCATAAACTTTTATGAATCTAAAGTGCCTTGGTGGTGTCTAATGGAGACAATTAAGCCACTATTGGAAGAAATCTATTCCTCATAGGTGACATCTAGAGTTGGAGTTGCAATAAGGAGCTTGAGTGGTGTCATTTATACATGGGAATAACTAAAGTAAGGTGAGAAGCTCACACTGTGCATTAAGACATTACGGCTTTTTATGGTGATAGGAAGAGAAGGATCCAGGATTGGAGACTGGATAGGAGCACAGTGTCCACAAGTTAAGAAATGTATTTGAAGGTGTGGGGAGCAGTTAATGTTGCCTTCTATGTAGAAGTTAAGAGGCAAGAATTAAATTCGTCATTGTCAGCAAATCAAGTGGCATATTAACATTTAAGATGTTTGACAGGTAAACATTTTTGAAGCACATACAGAATTCATGGATATAGACAACAAACCTATACCACCAGTGAATCCTGATAATCCTACCACCACATGGCAACACTGAATTGAGATGCTTTGAAATGGGAACATTATGGCAACACAATTTGGAAACAACAAACCAGGTGGACATGAGGACAAGGTGCTGACAGGAGAGACACTATACTACTAGACACATTTTGGGGAAACAGCTGTAGGTTTAAGTATATAAAGAGACAATAAAGGATGTGTTGCAATAGTTGCCACCACAATGGGGAGGGGAGTTAGTGGTAGGGCTGAAGCAGAGTGACCTGCTAGGAATCCATGTAAGAAGCACTTGGGTTCTCAGATCCAATGCTCTGCTCAGCAATGACTTCTTGTCAACTGATACTGAAATTTTTAGATATTTCAAGGGTAGGAAACTATATCTGGTCTGCAACAGTATTAGACATAAGTGAAAGATTAAGTAAATGTTTGCATCGTAAGTGAAAAGGCAACCAGTTGTCTTCTCACTAAACCCCAGGAGTTTTGACAATATATACCCTTGAGGCAGATGGGGAGACTCTTCTTTCAAAATTCTCTGCAGTATAAAATGACAAAGCTAAGTATTCATGAGGGGGTATAGTCTGTCAAGACTTCCTCTCCTCTAATACTGGTCATCATGCCCCTAACTTACCTACTACTAGGTCTAAATATGCAATCTGTTGAGAAAAATCACCGGACTTCTTATAGAGAGGGCAGAGGTACTAATAGGAGAGAAAGAAAAGAAGAACAGAGGGAGACAGAAAAGAGTTAACATAGGAATTATGCAGGAAGTAAAATTTTCAAAAATATTATCTTTAACCTCCTTGCAAAAATAGGAGATGATATTACATGTATAAAGAAATAGCAGACAACCCAAAGCAAGAAAATGAAATGAGAGCAGAAATAATAGTTTACTTTTTAGAAAGTAAAGTTTAGAAAGCCTTCCCAAATGCAAAGCAAAATAGAAAATTGAAGTACCAACCAATGTTGTTTGTTTACTCACAAAAAATGGCAGAGATGGTGAGCACTGTAAAGAGAAGCTTTATCCTTGAGAGAAGCCGTCACGCCAGCCTGGTTCCAGAGCCGCTTTCCCGCCAGCCTGGTTCTAGAGCCGTATCAGTCCCAAATAAACACACAGGAGGCTGTATTCATTATGAAGCTGTTGGCCTTGCTTGTCTCTTACTAGCTAGCTCTGCTTTAAGTAATTACCCCATAATTGTTAATCTAAGTATGTCTCTTACCGGAGAATAGTTCCGGGCTTCCTACCCATGCGGTTACATCTCGAACTCTCCTGTGTTTCTCCTTCCCAGAATCCTCCTGGGCTCCTAGTCCTACCTATCTAGATTCCTATTGGCCAGACAGTCTTTATTGACAAATAACAGGCAAATAACAGGACTTCCCCAACAGAGCACAGAGGACAAAAGCGGAACCTGAGTGCATTTGACTTGCTTTCCTTGGGAGACTCTGAGAACTGTAACTAACTTTGGCTCTTGGTAATTTCTCTGCAGAAGTGGTCATTTAAAAATCCATGCTGAACCTCCTAGGGTAGGCTACTTGAAAGGTGGTGGCCAGAGGTTGGAAGATTCAGGACTTGCCTGGGATACACATTCCACCAGACTGAGCAACATAGTAAGACCTTATCTCATAACAATTAAAACAAGAAAGAGTAAAAGGGCAATAGCTGAAGCACTTGATTGGTAATGGCGAGGTCATCAGTTAAACTCCCAATATTACAGTTAAGGAAACAAAAATTGGTTTGGTAAGTACTGTAATTTGAAGGTGAAATACCCCTACAAAGTTATATATTTGAACATTTAGTTCCCATCTCATTTCCCTGAAGAAGTTTCTAGGAGGTAAAGACAACTTGGAGATGTTGGTCACTAGGGGCAGCCCTTGAGGCTCTATAGCCTGTCCCACTTCCTATCTGCTCTTTACTTCTGTTCTGCCAAAATATAAGAAGTAAAGTGTTCCAGTGACCCACTCTGACACCATGAAGTGGCCCACCACTGTGCCTTCTCCTGCATGGCAGCCTGTGTCACTTCAAACTGTGAGCCAAAACATAACCATTACCTCTTACATTGTTCCTTGCTAGGTATGTGGAAACAGCAATGAGAAAATTAGCTAGCACAACATGGTCTCCTTTTCATTCTTTAGGTCTTATCTTTAGTGACTTCATACAGAACTTGTCCTGTTGCTCTCTCTACAAAGTTTCACCTGTTACAAAATCACTTGTTTGTTGCTATGACTATTGTGATGAGTATCTATGAGTAACTACATAATGAAAAAATAGTTCTGTAGGAAATAAAAGTAATATACTATTAGTTTATTTTATTTATTTATTTTACCTGCCACATTTACCCAATAAATGGGGCTGGAGAGATGGCTCAGAGGTTAAGAATACTGGCTGCTCTTCCAGAAGTCATGAGTTCAATTCCCGACAACCACATGGTAGTTCACAACCATCTACAATAAAACTAAGCCCTGTACTGGTCCTCACAATTTAAACTTATTGCTGTATTAAATAAATATTTTAATTAAAGGGATAGTCTTACACTAAAATAGCTAAAAACTTCAATTCTTAAACTTCCACAATCTTTCAAATTTCTCTGAATAGGAAGGTAAACCAGGTACATAATCTTTCACATTTTCATGCAAATACACAATATAATCTTGCTTTCTGCTGTGCCAATACAATGAAACTTTTTGGCAATTTTTTATTTTTATTAAGTTGCATTTTTCTTGGCATTGATTCTTAAAATATATTTTATTTATGTAATACAGCTTATTCTATAAAAGCATTTTTTATAAAAGAAAAGGTTAAATGGTAGAAAATAAAATTAGAAGCCACATTTTAGTATGATAGCTTAAAGATGGATAAAATCCAGTGTTCTAACACCTTTTAAGCCACTGGTGACCTGTTATCTTCTCTGTGTTGCCAGCATGAGGAAGTACACTGACAGGCAGCCAGTATTTCTCTTTTAGAAACTTGATATATTTTTATACAGATGAAAAGTGCTGTCTCAGTAGGAAGGGCTGACATTCCAGGCTATTTGTGATATCTTGACTGGCAGCACATCTGCTTGCCTTATCAGAGAATAGATAAATGGGTTCTAACTGATTAACTCAAACCTCAGGAAGTGACTCTGGGCAGAGGCAGTGTATCGTGGACACTGTTTTTTTGTTTGTTTGTTTTCACATGGGTCCTCAGGGCCTGCATTAATTGACTGTGGATACTTATCTGGAACAAAACAAAGAAGATGAAATCCCACATGGTCATTTGACAGGTATCGACAAAGGGAAAACCAGAACCCTCATCCAATATTGACAGACTTTGTCAATTCCCATTTTTCTTCTTTTGACAGCGTGAGTAAAAAGTTGTAACATCAGTCTGTAGTATGATTGTAACTTCAAAATTAAAATGTAGAATTCTGATGCATCCAAAGTTTATTGTGTGCTATTATGCAGTGTGATATTCCCTGCTTGTTGATTTTTAAGGCTTAGAAAGTTATTATAAACTAAAATTAAAG